AGGTGAATGGGAGTAAAGTGCCCATACACTGTACAATAATCGTGCAGTGTATGGAAGGCGTGCGACCGTTTCTACTGTACGATCGCACGTCTTCCATCGAACAAGCAGGCTGGAAAACCCACCGATTGCTTGTTTGACGACTGCCGAACGGGCCGGTGTGCGCACGGCACACTGCCCGTTCAGCATTGCAGTCATCGGAAGCAGATCACAAGTACGATCCGCCTGTCCAAGATGGGCAGATCGTACATTTTTTAATTACTTTACAACCCTTGCAAGACAAAAGTCTTGCGAGGGTTGTACAGTGTATGGCCACCTTTAGATTGGTGGACAATGGAAATCTCATCCTGAATTGCATCTATCTTGTTTGTGAAATGAATGGCAATGTCTTGCAGTGAATGAGTTAGTGGGAGGAGGCGTTGGGTGACAGAGTTAAAAGTACAAAAGATTTGACGAGGACTGGATGAGTGACAAAATAAGTCTGTTTGGCAGCATAGAAGGAGGAATTCTATTGTAGGAGGGCAGCTTTATACAGGGTGAAGTCTTGCAGGGACCTAGATTTACACCACACTCGCTCAAAAGCGTGGCTGTTTAAGGATTTCTGCTATCATCTGTTTGCCATGACTGTAATGGACATGGCCTAAGTCTGTGTGTACTGAGGGGAGCCAAGGTGTCTAGGGAGGATGAGAGCGAGCTGTTGCAGAGATTCTCATTGGAAAACATGTAAAAGAATATATAGAACCAAAAGGTTTTTTTCCTCAATAGTGGGGAAGATTCTGAACTGCCACATTTTTCTTGCCGTTAGTGAGCCCAGTAGAGATATTCATCCTCTCAATCAGTCTTGAAGACCATGGTCTTAGCGACGGGAATAGCGTTGTGAATTGAACCTCAAGTTGAGATTTAATTAAACCGTTCACTAATGCAGCAAATAATGCACCTGAAGTGTAACTGCACTTTGTTACATTTCTCCATTGTACCTACTGTTATAAAAACGATTGATGGTATGGTGGTCAGTCCACAGGTAAAGTGTCACTAAATGACCCATCTTAACCGCTTGCTGTCCAGGGCATTTTCTTACTATTTGCGCACACATGATAAAATATACATTTTTGGCAAACAATGATATATGTTCTGAAAGCAGAGGCTCTGTAGAATTTAAAAAAATGCTAGTTGCAATTTTTTTTACGTCACATGGTTTTTGGGCAAATGTTTATGAAACCAGTATTTTTAGGAAAAAATAAACTAAATTAAAATGTAGTGCACAGAAACATAATACCCAATTTTTTTGGTAAAATATGAAAGACGGGGTCACACCAGGTCAATAGATATCAAACATGTGAAGCCGCAAAAAAAAAAGTCAATACCCCAAATTTCCCATAGGGAACATTTTAAATGCTTTTACGCCTCATCAGTTTAGTGCTAAACAGTGATTGATGGCCCGAGAATTATTGCTCTCACTCGGACGCTCGCGGTGATGTGTAGCGCAATTGTAATTTTCGCACGTAGGGGCGGGGGACTTAAACATATTTTTTTTTTTTTGCATTTTATAAGTTTTTGTTATATGTTTTAAATTACACAATAATCTAAAGAAAAGCTTTTAAATAAAAATGACATTCATTTTACATACCGCTTTTCCTTTGTTTTCTCTGTACGCTCCCCTTCATGCAGCTAGAGTACTTTCACCTTCACTGTTTTAAGTACATTTACAGAATATTACAGTCACAGGCGCTGCTCTCCTCAAATTATAACATCCATTACTCATTGTACTGGGGATCCTAATGTGCATGCATCCCCTAACATCATTCATGCATATTGGTACTTGTGTGGGCAGGGATTTTATGAACGGGGAGGTTTCTTGTGGCGGGAACAGGCTGTGTCCACACGTAATCCTGTAGTGGATCTCGCAAGCAGAGTGGCTACATTCCCACAGAAAGTGGGACCATGTAGACCAAACATAGCCAACCCTCAAAACATAGGGGCACCACCGCTTTTAAATCTAGGTTGCGGGATGTGCAGACATCCCAAAACCTAGATTGAAGATGAGGAGCTAAGAATGAAAACAGATGGAATTTTATTTTAATTTTTTTAGTTTCCACAAAGAAACGGTCCTAAAATCATTAGTCTGTGTGGTTTTAGAAAAAATGTCGGTAATTGGTATGGGCAAGTACCTGAGGGAAAGTACTTGGTCTTGAAAAAGTGGTATTGGAATATCCCTAGCATATATTATATCTGCCTAGAGTGCAGTTTTAGGCAATCCTGCTGTTTAAAAGTGCTTTTAGGGACAGCAAGGAAGGCACCGAGGAAAAACCGAACTCTAAGATGCAAAAAAAAAATGAATATGGAGCAATACTACTGGCCCAGGTTACATGTGCACTGTCAAGCAAAATGTTGGCATGTGTAGTGTTTATCGACATGTCTTACAGTGTCCTTTACAGACTGCCAGGTAAATGATTAATATACAGCCTCTATCAGGATTAACACCATGCTAAGGACTGCAGGCCCAGCACTGCTAGGATGTCAAAAACTTGCTTGCCATGACAAGCTGGGACTCAGGGCAGAACACATCTAAATGTATCTGTGGGCATTGTAGTGCTATCAGTACTGTTTGGGTTTAGATGTGCTCTATAGTACCCCTATCAATACCTAAACACTACTGTGATGTAAACAAAATAAAAATAAAGCCCTTTGTCTGTACTCCCACTTTGGACTACAAGTAACCACACCAGTGCACAGTCATATTTTCTTGTAGTGACCACAGCATACTATAAGCTATGCACAGCAAAAGACAACATGCACAAAGGGAAGAGATAAACATTCTGTTTTACTGACAGCGCTCTACAAAACTATTCTTTTGGGAGTCAAGTTCTACATTATTGAGTGATGTACTGTAATCAGTCTATCTGAACTTACCAAAGTATCTATAGTGCTACACTGACTTTACAATCATTAGGGAGGTTTATAATAAGACAAGTCTATAGATAACTTTCAGAGGAAGATCTTATGGCTGAATTAAAATTAAAACTAAGAAAGTGAGACACTGGCCACAGCAGACAGTTTCCAGGTTTTATTTACTAAATACAGGTTAAAGAAGGAAATCTGAACCTATACTGTCAAATGCCGATTTGTGGTTAGCTGGTACAATCATTACAGTGTTGCTAAATAAGCCTCTGCTACTTTAAACTGACACCACCAAGTGTGAAAACTGCTGCAGGAAGGACAAATCACAGAATAGTCATCTTAAATCAGTTGGTTTGCAATCAATGTAAATAAGAACAAAAAAATGAAACGTTTATGTCAATAATTTCTTATTTACAATGCGGACATTGCAGAATAAAAATACATAACCAGTTACTACATAAAGCCCTAATGGGATGATTTAATGTCATGATTGGCTCAGCTAATCAAATATTGGAAATAAAAAACAAAAAGAAAACCAGGGAAAGCATATTTTACTAATGTAGAATTTTTTTCCTGAAGTCTGATTGTCTGCAAAGATAAAAGATGACTAAGGGCCTGCAAGGTAAACATCTGCCCTCCTCCCCAACTATGAAGTACTTATAGGGCATGCTGTGACACTAAGATATATGCTGCAACATTTACTGCCAAGTGGGTTCTTGATGCAATTCAATATTTAAAAAAAAAAAAAAAAAACTACATGCCTGCTCTATACACTTGGGGAAATCTCAGTGCTTGTGAACAGAACTGCATTCATAAAAAAAAATTATGTAACACAAAACTCTTTATGAAACAATAAGCCATTAAAAAGTGCACATATAAAATATCTTAAAGGAAATTTGTCAGCAATCATCATGGTAGAAATAAATTTTTTGATGGTCCATGTTCCAGGGTTGTCTTACTCTATATGGTGACTCACTGACCTGGAATTCATTTGTACATAAAAGATTACTACAATTTGATATGCACATACGTGTCCCAGGTTAGAGGTGCACAAAACAAGACTCCCTCAAATATACATTTTGACCTCCCCCTGGTCCCTTGAGAGCTCTTCCATGATTATTAACAATCCTACACGCTCACATTTCCTTCTATTTGGTTGAAAATGATCTGCAGACAGGCACATGGTTTGCATGCCCACTAGTTAGCGCCAAACTGGCTGTTAAAGCATGCACAGGAATCCCCAAGTCACCTCTACAGAAATTATTCAAATGGCTATAAGAATAAAAAAAAAATTAAAAAAAATATACAAACCTTCTTGTTTGTATACTGTAAATGTGGTGCTTCTACACAAGCTCTAGAATGGTTGGCAGGAAGCAGCAGGGGAGCCTTTACATCTAAAACAGATCCCGAGGACATAAAAAAGGAGTTTGACAAATTATGCAGAGCTCACCATTGTGCCTGCATATAACTTCTGCACAGAAGGAAGTTTGAACTAGCTGCACCCCTTTGATGACTGTACAGCTCTTAAGATGAGCAACAAACATGAGAATTTGTTCTAGTAAAACTTGCAGAGTTTGCCTTGATATAATAAAAGAGAAAAAAAAAGTGTTTTAAAAGTGCAACTATTCTAAGAAGTGCTTTGTAAATGTGATTTAGAATATACCAGCTTTCCATGTTTTGTTCTTAAAGCAGTTTTCAGAGAACAAATGAAAACTGGATCTAGGCCACATATCTTCCAAGACCTTCATAAATGATTTAAAGTTCTTCAGAGGCATCAAGTTGGCAGTACATGATTTGATATTTTACTAAGGATGCAACTGGTTGAAGCAAAACTCAGCACAGTGTCTGTCATGCTGCAAACACACAATCTGTGTAAAGTGTACCAGGAACAAACAAAGCACTGGCTAGGTATATATGCGTGGTCACAGGACCATTACATCTAAATAATTGGACCACAACACCATACTACAAGTAATGCTCCCAGGGGATGCAAAATAGATTGGGTCCAATTTTCAGCCCCTTGTAAGATATACGTGTTCTACTTAAATTTCTTACAACAGCAAAATTGTAACAATAAGTTTTGACTAGAAGAAAAAAAAAAAATCATCAGCCCTTTGTGGATTTATTGGAGCATACAGACACGGCATGTATAGAACAAGTAGCTGGTTGACACATTCCAGTAGGTCATGTACAGGGTCTTATCCAATCCTAAAATTATCAGCTGGATGCAAGAGAAGATGCTTCTGCTCTTTTCTACTGAAAACCAGTATACCTTGAGGCATGCATGAAATTGGACTAAACAAATAAATAAAAGGTGCGTGCTTCAAGATCAATGGTTAAGAGGAAAGAAAAAAAAACAAAATTATATAGGAGACTTTACTCCCATCCCAAATGTCTGCCGAGGGCTTCTCTAAAACAACTGTTACTTGAAAATAATTAAAACTATGCTTTGATTTTAGTGCCATCTGCCTTGTTTCTTCTTTTTACATCCCAGTTATAAACTCGAGCCATATCTGGATTGTGTGTTAAGGAAGCTGCTAATAAAAAGGTGGTAAATTCAAGTGTTATTAGTTCATTTTAGACGTTATTGCCATTTGTTCTCAAGATGTACACTTGCTTGTACAGACATTTCCAAATGCTGGAAGCACAAAATGGTATCACAAAATATTACAGTGCAAAGACATTCCAAATACTTACCATTTATTATGTCACATTTTGTGCACAAATACCAAGGTCATTCGTTTCACCAATATTTAGAGGCATTTGTTATTCATTTTATTTTTGCACATTTTAAGAGATTACATACTCCACCTCTCTAATTCTTCACATTTAGAAAATAAATAACAGAATACCCAAGACACAATGGAGAGGGGGGTGGTGGTTATACAAGATTGTAGAGATTAAATGAAAATATTGTTCCTGTTCAGAATAACTTCCACTATATTTAGTTACATAGTTAGTCAGGTTGAAAAAAGACACAAGTCCATCGAGTCCAACCTATAGAGAGAAAAAAAAAAAAAAAAGACAGCGGACAATTGATGCAATTACTCCACTGCTGCAAACCTGAAATGCACCAAATAATGAGGGTGGTGGTAAACCAACCCATGGCTCCAAGGTCCTGTTTACCGTTGCAAAACAGCATCTCATGAACACAAATCTTTATATTTTTTTTAATCGTGGTTTTTTTTCTCCCTGTATCTTATCAGGGAAATTTAGGAACATTCATTGTGACTAAGCAGTACCCTAAAAATGTACCTTCTGTCTAAAGTTCCTTCTGAAACAGAACAGTGCAGCTTCTGCTATGAGTGTGCCTACAGCCTCATAGCTGTATATCTGTAGTGTGATATCTAAGGCACTGCCGACTGCGCCTGCTAGTCTCAGCAGATACGGTGAGGTTATTCCAGTGCTGTTTACTGCTTTTCTTGCTGGAGCCTGACATGAGGAAGCAAACCTCTACCTCTACCAAGATGGCCATCTACACAACCAGACAGTGCAATTCAGTGATGGGAGGGGAAAAAAAACCCCAGCAGCAGGGACCACAAGTAATACTGGTGACTTGTCCATTGCGCTCTGCCTGCCTTCTTTTGTAAACAGCTTCCAGAGTTCAGCTCCTCTTTAAGCATGTTATGATGAAAGAATAATTAACCGCCTTCCAAACATGCGACCTACCAGATTACAGTCTTGATTCTCTTGCCAGGAAGAGTAAAAATTGGGAAAGTTCCAGCTTATCTGCATTACTGTTCTAAGATTAAAGAGGACCATCCACTGATCAAATTTCAGCAGGTCCTTAATAAACTGGCCAAAATTCATTCTGCATGTGACCCTGCAGGCAGCCTCCTGCCCACCATCCTTCAAGTCAGAAAATCTAAGGGCCCAGGTGGAAAATTCTCAGGGGAACAGTGACTGAGCATTCTGATAGGGGCACGCCAGCCGCTGTGAGAACACAATAGCGGGAGGATACATCCAGCCATGCTGTTTATCCAAGCTGAAAATAAATCTAATTTTGTTTAGCCAGTTAGTATTAAGCCTGCTTGGTTTTGTTCCAAGATATATGGTGCCATTACCTTAAGCATTTTAAGCTTCTGATATGATATATACCTTCTGTGCCCTCAAGCAAGGAAGATCTGAAGAACCACTCACCATCTGCAGCAATCTCAACTGCATGTCCTCTGTAAAGCAATGTGTAAATTGTTGGCCCTATAAACAAAGTACTCAAACTGTACATTATTCCGAATAGTGAGCAAAAATGTAATTTGCTGTGCCGGTCACCTCCTGACCACCTCCCCATTTCATTGCCCCTGAAAGCTGCAAGGAAAGGAAAAACAGAGAAGGGAACTGAAGCCATATTATAAAAATATTTTAGGCTGTGCCCATCTCAGACACCCTCAAATTCCTCCTGTTGTGCCCCATGTCAGAACGGAACAAGAGAATACCGAAGACTCAAAGATGGTGTGAGCACCTTTAACCTTTTGTATCTGTCACTTTACAGGTAGGTAGTTCTATTCCTACAGTTGTTCCATCAGGAATGGTACTACTACATAAACTCCTGCTATAAAAGAGTGTAATGCTAATTCGTATTGTTGTTTTCCTGGATACCAACTGGAACAAGAAACAATACAAAACACAAAAAGTCCCCAGCACACCTGCCAGCTAGCCTGCAACAAAACAAAACAAAATCACCCTGTCTAACAGTATGTGTTAAAGTAGAGGTTTTAGTTAAACAAAGCTTTGGCCAAAAATATGTAGAAGCCACACCGCCCCTTCAAGGCACCTCTGTAAAGTGTGGTCCTAACTCTTAAGTGTGGGAGCATATTAATGCAGTTGAGAAATTAAATGTGTGTTTTGTATTGTTGTAAGCCTTCCAATGTGCACCCTGCTACAAAGGCTGGTTATAAATGTATGCGGTTACCATCTTTTTCTAGTGGAACAAGAAACATTCATTGCAGGGAGTCTCCTGAGCAGAGACTCGGAGTCAGGTACACTTTGGACAAAGAAAGGGCAAGTTGACGCTAAATTTCGATTGCTTTTATCAGAAGCTTTAAATAACTTTAGGACAGGGGTAGGCAAACTCTGGCCCTCCAGCTGCTGTGGAACTAAAAGTCCCATGAAGCACTGCAAGACTGACAGCCACATACAAGACTTCCAGAGGCAGGTGCATGATGGGATTTGTAGGTTTTACAGGAGCTGGAGGGCCGGAGTTTGCCTAACCCCTGGTCTAAAATATTGGAGAAAGCAGACCCACAGGCCCAGTTCACCAAAGCCTCTACTTTGTCATCATTCCCTACATAAAAAGAGTAAATATCAGTGACTATCTACCAAAAATACGGCTACTATTTCAATATAAAAACACACACACAATTATTTAACATACCACAAAAGGATACTGACTTCGGTTGTGGTAAACTGGTCCCGCAAAAAGTCAAGGTCCTCTTCTGTGAACTCAAGATTTCTGGTGGCTGTTGACAAATTCTTCTCTAGCAAAGCCTGAGCGTCATCAATATCATACTCAAGCATCACATTGGCCTTGGAGGAAAATATTACAGCAGAGTAATTATTAAAATAAACAATACACATAGTAATAAAGATTCTTACACAATGTTTACATGATTTCTGCTTCTGAAGTCAGAGCCAACCTATTTTTTAAACATGTAGTTTCAAATGTTTTGGCACTTCAATCCAGACAATAATGGCAGCAGGGAATTTATAACAGGCCTGCTCAAGAGTTAGGGCTTGTTCACATCAAATGCGGACCAGATCTGCATGAGTTTCTGCACATGCAGTGCGTTTTGCCATGTTTGCATGCGTTTGTGCGCTCCAGAGCAGGGGGAAAAAATAGGGCATGCCACAGTTTTTACACATGCTCTGGAACGGAACGGTCTGGTGTGAACTAGAGCCCAAAATACCATTGGATGCATTTTTGATGCGTTCTGTAACTGCTCTGCACCTGCTCTACACTTGGTCTACACTTGGTCTACACTTGGTGTGAACAAGTCCCTAAAGTGGACCTTTACACTAAAACTTGACCATTGCATCCCCCTATGTATGATGATTATTAATAACAGACATGTCAGGTGTAAAATGCTGTGATTTAGAAATACTTACACTCGCAGAGCATTCACTTCCTGCTTTAAAAAGAGCAAATTACTTCAGTTTGGCAAAGCGATGCACACAGGGATTGCCTTGTAATCAGCAGAGCATTGCGGGGAAATCTCTGCTGTAATCTCACAAGATCTCAGGGAAAGGCATTTTCTTCCCCTAAAATGATGTGCATGGTCACATGTCCTAGTCATATGTGCCAGAAATCCAGGAAGTAATAGGAGAGCTAGTAATCTGCCCTTAGTAAACATGGCCAGTCAGAAGACTGGGAAAGAAAAGATAAATAAGGTATGCAAAGCATACAAAGCCGGCAATTATCTAGAAGTATCTGTTTGTAGATTGTCATTACTAAAAATGTCTAAAGCTGTTTTTTATTTTAATGATATGGGTAAAGGTCTGCTTTAAAGGTATGCATATTCTACTTTCTGCTGTAGGTCATGAATAGAGCTCCGGGGCTTCTCCTACTCTGCAGGTTTCATTGCCATAGTGTTCTGCTTTAAACAGACATTTGTGCTCCACCCCATGTATAAAGTAGTATCTAAACCACAACCACCAACTCATACTTATCCATTTTCACCAAACGCTTTTTCTATGGAATAAAAAAAAAAAAAAAACTCATGCTTACATGTGTTGTAGAGTACAATGCAATGTAAGTGAAACTGGTCATCAACACGTGTTATTATGCATTCTGAAGTGTTAACACTAGTTTTAGTGTTAAAAGCTGCATGGGTGCACTACACGAAATGAGCAAACAGTTAAAGGGCAATGGTACTTCGGGTGAAACGTTAATAGGATTCTCACACAGACTTATTTAATATAAATCCCTAAACCATTTTCTGGTCACATCCTAAAATAAGTACAAGATACATGCATTTCTTTTAATGCACCAAATCAGACCACTTCCACATTTGTCCCTCAAGAACTCCACCAGTGAATGCTTTTTCAAATTCCAGCCATAAAGTAGATTACTAGTATCCACTTGTTAGATTATCCGATGGAGTCAGAGCCAGGTTCAACACAATTCATAAATAATCCCCCATGTACATATTGTTATCAGCTACACTCCTTTGCCACCTAGCAGTCACATCATTTCTAGTGAAGTATTGGTTTTGCATGAGAACATACAATCTCTATGCCTGGAATGCATTTCAATCTCAGCATGTGAACAGGGAGCAGCCAGGTCACATGCCTCACCTTCTGGCATATAAACCCCCATAGGTTTTACAGTAGCAAAGGTTTTGCAATTCATGTAATAGTTTGTTTTTTCTATCAATTGTAAAAGCAGGGACATGAAATGAGAAGCCCAGAGAGAGGTTGAGGACTCTACAAGGCCAAGGACAAGTTACAAGTGTGCTTATGGTGAAAGCCCCAAGTCAGGACAGTAGACCCAGATGTACAAAGCAGCTGAACCTAGATGTAAATCTTGACTCAAATTTGGGCAAAGTCCGCCCCCTTTGGTTAAGGAGGCCGCCCAACATAATAAGTGGTCATTAAGGGGAAGTTGGTATCTGCCGCTATCTGTGGATCTGATGGTTTTCACATTCCACTGTAGGCAACATCTGCTTGTACAATTGTTCATCATATTCTCAGTTTTAACTGCCCAGGTTTGGGAAGGTTTTCATTTAGGGTTTCTATACTGCCTTTCACAGTATTGAGAGCATCTGTAAAGCTGCAACAAGCTCTTTATGAAAAACTCCTCTAAAGTGGTATCAGCCAAGCCTCTTCCACCCTTCAGTTACAAAATGTATACAAGTTTAACAAAAGATTAAACTGTTTGGGGGGAATTTAGCAAAACTGGAAAAGACAAATTCTGGAGCAGTTGCCCATGGCAACCAATCAGCTTATCTCTTCAGTTTGTTCAGTTAAGCTAGGAAAATAAACAGGGAAGCTGATTGGTCACCATGCAAAGCTGCTCCAGATTTTGATAAATTCCCCTCTGTCTTTTATATTATTCTCATACAAGATGTGTCCCATTTTGTAGGCCCCCCCTACTTGTTATTTAAGAAAATACTTTGTTGGAACAAAAAACACAACTCATACACAAGCCATTTTGCATTTTAAAGAGAAAATTGTGAAATCAAGGACCAGCCATGATTTTTTTACAACATCCCCAGAAATCTACTTTCCTGTTCTCTGTAACAGAAGTCAAAGTTACAAAAACATTCCTTGAGGTGGGGGGTTTCATTTTTGGAGACAGGTTAAAAGGCCAACACACACACACACTGAATGGGGACCTTCCCATTGTGTTTGAGATGGGGCTCTGTAACGTTCTCAGTAAAGGATAAAGGTAACAGCAGGGCCCTGCTCAGAAAAGCTTACAAAATACACAGGGTTATTCACAAAAGGGTGAAGAGTTGAGAAGAGAGGAGAAGTGAACAATCTAGATCAAAATAGCTGATTTGGATAAATTCTCCAATTCAGCTCACTTTCCAGTTCAGCTATGTTATCCTAGATTGTTCACTTCTCCGGCCTTCTTCAAACTCTTCACCCTTTTGTGAATAACCCTGATTAAATGTAACACGACATTTTATAAATCTCCCTTCTTATAACATCCCTTTAAAAACACAACATTAAAATGAACAAGCACAAAACATTCTTTATTTGGTAGAAATGTATATGATCTAAACTTACCCCAAGCCACAAGCAGACTTTGTCTGTAGGTGGCACCGATGCTTTACAATATACATTATCTGCCAATAAAAATCTGGTTTCCATTGGCTCCGTAGTGCCCTGCCAAGAAAGAACATTTTTATTAAAAAATGTAGCTAAATCTATGAACAATTATTTCATATTTTTCAGCTTACCAGTCCACGAATGTGGTGGGTGCACTGGATTTATTTTTGTCTAATTTTTATCTGATGATCCTTAACACACCTGCTGTCCTAGAGCGACAATGCTCACTCACTGTACTGTATCTATGGAGGAGCAGCAGCGTTGTCACCCAGGGCAGGAAATGTGTAATAACTACAGAACTAGGCACAGATATGGACATACTAGAATAGTGGGAGTGACCAATGCTGACAAGTTTCCAAACATACAGGCTCCGGGGCTGCCATCTTGATAACAGCTTCACTACCTAGTATAGAGCTATTTCTATATTCCGGAACAGGAAAGCATAATGCCAATTTGGAATACAGGATAACAGAGCTACTGAGATAATAAAATAAGTTGCAGCTTTATTGGCAGAAAGACATTAAAAGTACAACACTAGCAAATTTTTTGGATGGATTAAACCTCTTGGCAGGTTTTACTGAAATCCAGAGTAATTTTCAGTAATTATTGTCCCAATAACAATGTTTTCACCAGAAAGGAAGTGAGGGAAATTCTCCATCTATCTATCCCTACCCTCACTGCAACCAAAACTATGTAAGGAGGTATTGGCTAGACATACATGCTTGTAAAGACAACAAAAGTAACGTTGACATTACAGAATGGCCGCCCCAAGTTATATCCTTGCTTTTTCTGCATCCTAGTTAGGACTGGAGAAACATAATAATATAATATATATTTAACTACTCAAAGAAGCTTTGCATTTTTTTTCTTTTACAAATCTCTAGCCCACTACCTAACAAAATGCACATTTCTCAGAAATCAATTTCTTAGTCTGCTGGCTTACAGTACAAACAGAGAGGCATAGGGCAATAACCTGCACGCATAGGACATCATATTCATTGGACCATCTACCACACCGGATATCACATTGTGCAGGCTGTCAATTGGCAGTAATAATATTTTATCTACCGACTCCTAGTGCCAGATGGTAAACTGGTTACTTGATTTACCCTTGCTGGAAACATTAAGTGTACAATTTATTCTGATAACACCCCCGTGGAATAGATTAGTAGAAAACTACAGAAAAATATCAAACTAAAAAGATGAGTAAAAGTAGACAGTTACAAAGTTGCTCAATAAAGGGTTAATCATTTAGACACACGTAGGATCCATTAGGAGTATTCCTTCTTAAGCAATTAAACCAGAGAAAATCTGAAGGAAGAAGTAGTACTCACAACAGTACACGTAGAACTCTCTTCTATACTATATCTCCAGCCTCCTCACATTCCCGCTTTCTTTTATATTGTGCAGAGGGAGATATAAAATATAAGTACACAGCTTTGAAGAAACAGTAATTACCTTTTTCTTTTGCATATGCTTTAAAATTTCTAACGTCTGTTTAATGTCTGGGATCTGACTCTTTAGTCTGTCAAAAGAAGGAAAACAAGTCTTAAGATTTCATAACCGAGGGGGAAAAAAAACCCACAGACAGGGGAAAGTACTTACCTTCTTTTCTTCTGAGAAAGATTTAATTCCATGAACTTGTACTTTTGATACTGCTCATCTAATCGCTTAAGCACTTGATCAGCCGTTTCATTTCCAGGTTTTTGCATAAACGATTCCACATCTTCCTATAACAGAACCAAAACAGAGAGATTGCATCATCAGTCATATTACTGTATCTTGTTCAGCACCATTATCGTTTATTCCAGATTTCAATATTCGATTTTACTAGTGTCCTCCTGTGACCCAAAACTCGGCCAGCGTGTCTCCTCCCCGCAGTGCTTAGCATCGTGTCACAGATCAAAGGAGAGCAGTGTGGGCAGAGACAGCCAGCGCCATCACAGCAGGCTGAGCTCCCACTCGCTCAGCCTCCTGTGACAGCTGTCAGGAAGCAGAGTGAGGTACAAAAACACTCAGTGATCGCTGTTTGTAACTAATTGAGGACATGGTATGGTTACTATATACTCAATAATGAACGAATGGGAAGTGATCTACATCACCTCCTATTCATTCATAGTTGTGGATATAGTAAATACACAATGTCCTCAAGTTATGAATGATCAAAACTGGAGCAGCTGTCCATGGCAACCAATCAGCTTCTCTCTTCCTTTTGTTCAGTTAAGATTTGAAAATGAAAGGGAGAAGCTGATTGGTTGCCATGCAGAGCTGATCCAGATTTTGTCTGCTCCAGTTTTGATAAAATAAATTCCCTCCTCAGTATAGAGGATTTCTGTTCATTTATAACTGGGGCTGCAGAAAAAGATTGAGGAAATAAACATTTTCTGTTTCAGCCTAACATTTTTTATTTCGGCTTCATTTCAGTTTTAACATTTTCATTTCAGTGCACCGCTACTTATAGCTATTGCCTGCTACATGCTGACAGCGCAGAGCCACACTACTGCCTGATTGACAGCTGGCTCTGCCTCTGTAGAGGCAGCTGTGCCCACCCACTCCACCCATCAGTCCCTCCAGTCAGCGATGGAGGAATGGAGAGGGGTTGGTCATCATTCTCTGCAAGCAAAGGATCGTGATCAGTGGTTTGTGATCGCTCAGTTCTCAAGCTATAGAGCCGACATTTGACAAATGCAGTGTCACACATCCGCTTCACTTGCCCCATAGTAGTTCTTTATGGGTCTGTTCACAGCATATGCAGTGCGTTCCGGCCAGAACGCACTGCATCGTGGTCGGCTCCCTTTTTATGCTTGGCAGAAGGGGGCGTGGCAGGCCATTGAAGTGAACGGCGCCGCAGCCACCCGCACGGGATCGCATGGCACATTGTGCCTGCGGTCCTGTGGGTTCAAAATGCTGCAAGTACTATTTGGACCGCACCGGACCGCAGGCACAATGTGCCCTGCGATCCCATTGCGACTGCAGGGCGTGGCTACAGCACCATTCACTTCAATGGCACACCACGCCTCCTTCTGCCCAGCAAAAAAGGGAGGCGGCCGCAATGCGATGCAGTGCGTTCTGGCTGTAACGCACTGCATATGGTGTGAACAGACCCTAAGGATTGCCAACTGTCAAGGATTCCGGTGTGCTTATTTGAGCTCTCAACCAAAAATGTAATCCCTCAAATGGCTGGTGTCATTACTGATCGCATGTGCTGCACCATAGCAACTGCAATCCAAATAGAGGCTAAGATGGCACCTTCCATGGCTGTAAGGAATAGGAGGGTGTAGTTCTGATTTAAAGGAGAACTATGAGGTGAGTGCTTTTCACTCACCTCATAGTTCTAGCCGACCTGTGACAGGTCGGCTCAGTAGATCGGGAGGTGAGCGAACACATACCGGCGTTCGCTCACCTCTCGATCCTGTCAAGGCTCTCTGCTGTGACAGGGGAGGGGCTGGATTCCCCCCCTCCGATCCACCAGCACTGACTGGCGCAACAGACGGGGGAGGGTACAGCTGGCTCTGCCTCTAGATAGGCAGAGCCAGCTGTCAGTCACGCAGCTGGGCGGATCCAGACATAATTGTCGGGATCCGCTTCTGCTGCGGCATCTTAGTATACCACAAGCAGCAGCTCACGGTATACTGAGCCTAGGGTGACGGGAGGACGCTAGTTTGTGTCCTCCCGTTACCCAGAGAACTATGGGGAAAAGCCTTAACCCCATAGTTCTCCTATAAGGAGCAGAATGGTGACCCTTCTCTGCCCCAGCATGCTGATTGGACAGTGAAGATACAGCAGAAGACTGATAAGCTCATCCCTCTGCTCACCTGATACTCATTGCTGCCCAAAAGCACATTCCACCATCTGCAACAATTACATGTAAAGAGTAAATGTAATAATTTATGAACAAACACTGTGCTGCATTATTGCATCTTGGGATAGGTTTAAATATGCTAAATGCTGATAGCCAGGAACCAGAAAATCAGCCACCACAGTGGTAGAAGGACTAGGCCACCACTTCACCCATCACCACAAGCATGTGCACCTCCCTGCTATACAGGCCCGCAATTCATAGCCTGCCATGTGTGATGGGAGGAAGGAGGGGCACTCTGCAGTACTGAAGGGGGTGGGGGAGCAGGCAAGCAGTAGACGGTGCCTTGTATGGATACGGCCGCCTCGGTAACCATGACAGTCACACAGCGTGCAGCATTCAGTCCAGCAATGTCTACAGCTGCCATTGGCGCTCTTCTAGCACACACACAGGACATATAAAGCAATACATAGCGTGCTTACCACAAACACAGCCTCCGGAATACCGAGGTGCGTTCTCTTTATACCGGCAGCACCACCACCCTCATTGGCCGTCGCCATCTTTGAAACAATGCGTGCCGTACGTCCCCGCGTTTTATTACGACAAGCGCGGCGTCTCTTTAACCCCGCCCCCAGAACTCTGATTGGCAGAGACGGGAAAGTCTCTCGTGTATAGGAAACGCTCGGTGCAGAGGTTGGGCGGGACTTATCCGGGCCGTTCGCACTTTCGATACATCACCCGGGCAGGCAGTGGCACACATGGACTAGAGATCATAGTGCAGTAGCACGGCCCTCATATCCGGGAATGGGAATATGGCTCTGTGTTGTATCCTGGAGCCACCTAATTCTATGTGTTTATTAGATACAATAAAAGTGTCTTCAACAGGAACTTCCACCAAATCTTATACATGTGACATGACAATTGTAGAATACGTACGCACCCATGCAATCTTCATGACTGAGGCCCTTTTTTCCATTTTTGCACCCATGTTATAGTCCACATTTTAGGCCTGAAAATGACGTAAAACCCCCCAACATTATATATTTTCTGAATGCCAAAGCGAGACTGCTACCCTGGGCTTCAGTCTAAGAACCCCTGACCTCCCAATGTCTAATGCATGTTCATTGATTTGTATTAGATATGTGGACGTCGAGGGATGGTCCATAGCTGAAGAGGAACGAGCACTTAACCCTTGCAGTGTGGGTTAGCCTTAGTGTTTTCAATTCACCGGAGCTCTTCTTTCAGGGCATATTCTGATCTGGCTGTGCCAATCCCGCATATGCACACCTAGCAGGGAATCATTGGGGGGGGGGTTATCACAACTTGAGCATTTGCCCATGGCAACCAATCAGCATATATCCAGTTTGCTCAGGTAAGTTTTGAAAATGAGAGAGTGAAGCTGATTGGTTGCCCTGCAAATCTGCTCCAGATTTTATCTGCTCCAGTTTTGATACATTTTCCCCATTATGTTTACATGTTGTTATAGTAGTGGCAATGTAAGCATTACCAATCATATGACGCTTGCCTTGATGTTACTGGGGCAGAATGGAAAATGAATTGCCCACTAGAGTTTTGGGTATGCCACTATTGCCACACATGCCCCTCCTGTGCTCTAGCAGCAATGTAATGGGTGGGCTTGCCGATGCTTAAATTGCCAGTACTATGGCAGCATGTGGACCAAATGATTCCCTGCTAGAGCGCTGGGTGCACATGCACAGGATTGGTGGCTCATACATTACTCGCTATGGCAGCATGTAGACCAAATGATTCCCTGCTACAGTGCTGGGTAACATGTGCACAGGATTGGTGGCTCCTGCATTGCTCCTACTATGGCAGCATGTAGAACAAATTAATCCCCGCTAGAGCGCTGGGTGCACATGAGCGAGATTTGTTGTGCGTATATTGCTGGTACTATGGTATCATGTAGACCAAATGATTCCCTGCTTGAGCTCTGGGTGTACATGAGCGAGGTTGCTGGTGCTTATATTGCTGGTACTATGGTAGCATGTAGACCAAATGATTCCCTGCTTGAATGCTGGGTGTATATGAGCGAGGTTGGTGGTGCTTACATTGCTGGTACTATGGTAGCATGTAGACCAAATGATTCCCTGCTTGAGCTCTGGGTGTACATGAGCGAGGTTGCTGGTGCTTATATTGCTGGTACTATGGCATCATGTAGACCAAATTATTCCCTGCTAGAGCGCTGGGTGCACATGAGCGAGATTGGTGGTGCGTACATTGCTGGTACTATGGTATCATGTAGACCAAATGTTTCCTTGCTAGAGCGCTGGGTGCACATGAGCGAGATTGGTGGTGCGTATATTGCTGGTACTATGGTATCATGTAGACCAAATTATTCCCTGCTTGAGCGCTAGGTGTACATGAGTGAGATTGGTGGTGCGTATATTGCTGGTAATATGGTATCATGTAGACCAAATGATTCCTTGCTAGAGCGCTGGGTGCACATGAGTGAGATTGGTGGTGCGTATATTGCTGATACTATGGTAGCGTGTAGACCAAATAATTCCCTGCTTGAGCGCTGGGTGCACATGAGTGAGATTGGTGGTGCGTATATTGCTGATACTATGGTAGCGTGTAGACCAAATAATTCCCTGCTTGAGCGCTGGGTGCACATGAGTGAGATTGGTGGTGCGTATATTGCTGATACTATGGTAGCGTGTAGACCAAATAATTCCCTGCTTGAGCGCTGGGTGCACATGAGTGAGATTGGTGGTGCGTATATTGCTGATACTATGGTAGCGTGTAGACCAAATAATTCCCTGCTTGAGCGCTGGGTGCACATGAGTGAGATTGGTGGTGCGTATATTGCTGATACTATGGTAGCGTGTAGACCAAATAATTCCCTGCTTGAGCGCTGGGTGCACATGAGTGAGATTGGTGGTGCGTATATTGCTGATACTATGGTAGCGTGTAGACCAAATAATTCCCTGCTTGAGCGCTGGGTGCACATGAGTGAGATTGGTGGTGCGTATATTGCTGGTACTATGGTAGCGTGTAGACCAAATGATTCCCTGCTTGAATGCTGGGTCTACATGAGCGAGATTGGTGGTGCGTATATTGCTGATACTATGGTAGCGTGTTGACCAAATGATTCCCTGCTTGAGCGCTGGGTGCACATGAGCGAGATTGGTGGTGCGTATATTGCTGGTACTATGGTAGCGTGTAGACCAAATAATTCCCTGCTTGAGCGCTGGGTGCACATGAGCGAGGTTGCTGGTGCTTATATTGCTGGTACTATGGTAGCGTGTAGACCAAATTATTCCCTGCTTGAGCGCTGGGTGCACATGAGCGAGATTGGTGGTGCGTACATTGCTGGTACTATGGTAGCATGTAGACCAAATGATTCCCTGCTAGATCGCTGGGGGTGTACATGAGCGAGATTGGTGGTGCGTACATTGCTGGTACTATGGTAGCGTGTAGACCAAATGATTCCCTGCTTGAGTGCTGGGTGTACATGAGTGAGATTGGTGGTGCGTACATTGCTGGTACTTTAGTAGCGTGTAGACCAAATGATTCCCTGCTAGAGCGCTGGGTGTACATGAGCGAGTTTGCTGGTGCTTATATTGCTGGTACTATGGTAGCATGTAGACCAAATGATTCCCTGCTAGATCGCTGGGGGTGTACACGAGCTAAATTGGTGGTGCGTACATTGCTGGTACTATGGTAGCGTGTAGACCAAATTATTCCCTGCTTGAGCGCTGGGAGAACACGCACGGGATTGGTGATTCCTGCATTGCTCCTACTATGGCAGTATGTAGACCAAATGATTTTCTGCTAAAGTGCTGGGTACTCCACCATTCCTATACACATTGCCTGATGAAGGGATCCTGTGTGGTCCTGAAACGTTGCATTTTCTGTTTGTGGTATGCTCATAAGATGTCAATAATGTGTTCTGAATCTGCAGAAGACGGTTTGCTGGTGACTTGCTGTTTTTTGATGTTTTGCCAATCCTGTACATGCGCAGCCAGCGCTCGAACAGGAATCATTTCATTTATACATTGGCATAGTATCAGCCACATAAGCCCTGCAAGTCACAACACATGCACATCCAGTAAAGCTGACGTCTCTCACCTAGGCGGGAAATGAGGACACACAGGGCAACCAAGAAGAAAAAAGGAATTTGAAGAAAAAAAAAAATTGTATCAAATTTTTCTGCAAGTTAAACAATGTCGGGGGGTTAATAGTGGGAGAAGCACAGAAGTAAACTGCTTGTCATGTTTTTGCCCTAATGTGAAGTATGTACACCTGAACATTAGGGAACACTTACTTTGCGCTAGGCCCTTCTCCAGTGCTGTCAGATTGATCTTCCATCCTCAACTCTGTCCCCCCGCGGACACTTCTTGGTTCTCAAAAGTCCTCTTTGGCCATTGGGTGGCGACTGATGATGTAACTCCTGTGCACATTCCCAGCAGTTACATCCTCCCTGGCACCTGGCCCATTCACGACATCTTCAAGATTCCATGGATGGGCTGTGTGTGTACATTGCACTGCACATACACCTTAAAATCCACACAAGAAATCAAAAAGTGCATGAGAAAACTTGTTGTGGCAGAAGAGTCTTTGCACGTCTCCTCTGCCAAAAGGCCCGACCTCCCTGCGATTTTTGCTTCTTTACTGTCGCTTTAGGCAATGTGGAAAATTAGGCTGAAAGTTTGTTTTAAAGGAGAACTATGAGGTGTGTGCTTTTCACTGCATGAGACTCAATGAGACTGTCACAGGTCGGCTCAGTAGATCGGGAGGTGAGCGTACACATACCGGCGTTCGCTCACCTCTCGATCCTGCCACGGCTCTCTGCTGAATTGTCGGGATCCGCTTCAGCTGCGGCGTCTCAGTATACCGAGCCTAGGGTGACGGGAGGACGCTAGTTTGTGTCCTCCCGTTACCCTAAGGAGAGCTATGGGGAAAAGCCCTAATTCCATAGTTCTCCTTTTAAGTAAAATCTGTCATTGGATAATATGCAAATGTTCCTGCAACATCAAAAAGTTAATGTGATATTAAAGCTTCATTTTTATTTTTTTTTACCCCTAGGAGGCCCGCCTTTTTATAAATAATCTATAATATTTTATAAATACTCTAAAAATGTTCAATTCCTCGTTTTCTAGTGGGTCCCCGCATCACTCTCCCCCTGCCCCCTGCAACTAAGAAGCTGTTGTGGAGACACCCATGCATGCACATTCCCAGCCGTGCCTGCAGTAGCTGTGTGCGTTCATGGACACACACAGCCCTGCGGCAGGCCACACCCTCCTCTCTGCCCAACAGTTTGATTGATGGCAAAAGGAGCCTATGGCTCTTCTGCCCTCAGTTTCCTACCCGGCAACCAGGAAGTTTGGGGAATGGAGGATTGCTTCGGGGACCGCCGGTGGTGACACATGTAAGTGTGGGGGGACAAACAAAAAAGGTACTGGTCGTTTTTACCCTAATGCAGAGAATTAAGGTAAAAAGAAAACAACCAGCCTTTAATGCTACTTTTAGTGAAAAGGTTTTCAAACTATTTCAAATACTGATGAAATCACTTACAATGGATGCTGCTCCTTGATGGCTAAAAATGTAATTTTCCAGCAGAATCAGCTAGTCTCCTGAACACTGATATCCTGTTGCTGTCATTTC